AACTGGTCCAGAATTTTATGCGAGAAAACAAAATAAAAGTGCTTGATTGGCCTGGTAATTCACCAGACCTAAATCCCATTGAGAACCTGTGGCATATTCTAAAGAATCGCTTAGCCAAGATGAATTGCACGACAGCAGAACAAATGATAAAAAGTGCTATTCAAGTATGGTTCCACGACGATGAAGTCAAGAACATGTACGCTACACTAGTGGAATCAATGCCAAAACGTGTTCTTGAAGTCATATCTGCTAAAGGAGGACATACTTCATATTAATACAGACACGTATCAATGTAACTTAAGGTATGTAATGATTAAAAGCTAAAGTTTCAGTAAATCACTTTTTTTTCATTTGTCCCAATTAATTCGAACAGTATAGTAAATAAGTAACATATGTGTTTGTTATTATTAAAAGTATCTTGAAGAAAGATATTAAAACTAGAGAGTTTTATTGCAGAAAAGCCTAAAAAATTCTGCCACAGGGGTAAATATAATCTCTCCCTGATAATTTATTTTTCTTTTCACTTCCTCTTTACTTTTTTATGTGAGATATACCGTTCACTTCCAAAGACTGTGCATAGCTTAACCATATCAATGTCTAAATTGTTACCCTTAAAGTAGAAATCTCTAAGTTTTGGCATCAACAGGGCAGTGGTATGCAAAGAACTAAATGAGTACAAAAATGGCAATAGTATTTTCAGGAATATAAATACATTTTCTCCTTAATAGTCAGTATATATAAAGATTTCATGTTGGAGTATTATTTGCATTAATGTTATTATTAAGCGGCATAAAAAAAATTTTTTACTATAAAAAATATTTGTGGTAATTCTTTTTTAATGTGACTAAAGACTTCTCTAGGGCAGTGTGAATTTCCTCCGAAACTTGTTCATGCAACCAGACATATTCTGCACCCCTGGTTTGCATGAACATGTGTAGTTCGTTCACAAGAAGTTGACACTTGGCTCCACCTAATAGGACGATTAGTTCATTTGGGCACAGGAGTACGAGGAGCAGAAAAGTCTCACGCTTAAAATTGAGACAGCCTTTAATGCACATCAAACGCAAACATTTAATTCTTTTTCAGTCGCTTACTTCATTTTATCATCTGCTATTATACCTTTTGTTACTCTAGCTAATTAAATATATTGCAGCAAAATGTTCCGAAAAGGACAAACTATTAAAAAAATGCAGATAAAGATTGTGAAATAAATATTTTTGTCATACGATCTTCAAATAGCAACATTATTCCGGATTGTTCTCATCCTTCTCCCAGAAATAGCGAAATA